AATAAGCTACTAGTAACAAGTGCATCGCTTCTAGTAACAAGTGCCTTACTAGTAGTAACAATAAGCTATTAGAAACAACAATTAAATTAGAAACACTAAGTTACTAGTAACAAGTGCATCGCTTCTAGTAACAAGTGCCTTACTAGTAGTAACAATAAGCTATTAGAAACAATAATTACATTAGAAACAATAAGCTACTAGTAACAAATGCATCGCTTCTAGTAACAAGTGCCTTACTAGTAGTAACAATAAGCTATTAGAAACAATAATTACATTAGAAACAATAAGCTACTAGTAATTTCTTTTTGCATACGGTAGGTTGTGGATGCCGTGCGCCGCTGCAAGTTCAAAACAAAGCGGACAATTGCAGGAACACATTCTTGAGTCCAAGGTCAACCAAACCAACGAAAACAACTGGCGCAACCCCCCCAAGTTGACTTCCAATTCCTGAAAAATGTGCCAGGATCCTTGAGCAAGAGGTTCTTTTCTTGAAGGATTGCGTGGGCAGCGAAGTTGAGGCAAAGGTGTTCAATCGTTTGACAGAGTCAGCTTTTCTTTTTGACAACGGACGTGAGAACCACTTATTGAACCTATTGCTGGAATTTGGAGTCCAGGCAGCCTGTGCTGATCCTGCTGCCGGTTCTGTTATTTTGCTCGAAAATCTAAGTTGGGACTTCAGACATCGTTGCACAGACATGTGCGGGGAACATGGAGAGTTTTCAGGATTTCACATCGAAGAAGAAGGCAAGAATGAAGCAAAGGAAAAGGCGAGGCGCATGCAAACAAAACATAACAAAGAGGCAGCAAAGATCCACACTCTCTTTGCAAATGCTAAGGCTGACCCCGACAAGGTTAAGGATTTCCGAGCCTCCTTGGTGTGTGTCTTAAGAGTCCTAAGTCATCATGCAACCCTTACAATTTGAATAAGGCAAAACTTGGAGATGTCTATGTGAACGACGCTTTTGGCACAGCTCATAGAGTCCGCCCAACTCAGTTTCATCCTACACCATTCCTAGTTGCTTTCTTGGTGTCCCCTGTTGAGTAAGGCACATAGCAGCATGCTTGGTGAGGGCTTTCCCATCAGAGTGGCTGGCTTTTTGATGGGTTTGCGCCTCACTTTGCCGTTCAAGCAAACCAATCGAAAGGGGATGTATATTTTTCCTCTTTCTGTTTGCATGTGTTTTTCATGAGGCAAGGAGTTGGCCTCATTTGGCAAGGCCTGAATGACCAACAAAGCTGTGGCCACTTGAAGTTCGGACGTCACCAGGTCTTGAACAAACCACGCCGACCAGTCCTTGCAATTCTTGGTGGTGCCAAGGTGATTGGTGGAGGGTAGAGAAATGTCAACAGGGTGATATCCAAGCATCAGAATCTGACATTAAGGTAAGCGACAAGATTCAGCTCATCAAGAATATGCTTGACAAGGCGATATAAATAATAAATACCACAGTTTTTGCTTTGATTCGTCTGGCCTTTTTTTCTACCTGACAACAACCGGTCAACGAAGACCAACTTGCCGCGATTGTGCTTCACACTTAGAATCCACAAGAAGGAACATCATGCTTTTCGGCTTGTCAGGTTGACATTATGATCATTGGAGGCGGAATGGCCGGGACCCCATCTTCGTCTCTGAGTCAAATCAAAGCAGCTTGTTGGCGGGTGAGGCCTATACCTTCCTCAAAGTCAATGATGAAATGGAGATTGGCAAATCCTTGTTCGATGAGGTGTGCTTCTTGACACATGTGAGTCATGAACCTAAAGTCCTAATCTCTATTTACAGGAACACGTTTGAATGCTCGCCATCAAAACACTGCTTTCCATTCCAGTTGAAACCAACGCAAGGCATACTGTAAGGCCAGGGATGTGTGGAGTGTTGGAGTGTGAGGAGGGCTCAAAGATTGTGCCAGACATCATGGAGAAGGTTAGGACGCCAGGGGTCTGCATGATTTTGTTTGTAAGGCTGACAGAGGTGGTGTTGCATTTGTCAGGCGAAGGAGAAAGGTGTCATGAGCTCAGAGAGCAAAATGCAATTTGTTCTTGACCAATTATGTCACCACAAAAAATGCCTACTTACCCTGTAGATACCGAGGCAGCCATCAGGTTGCACTCCTATCAAAGGTTTCATTCATTCCTTTGCCCTTGGCTATATACTCCACTTTTGATACTGTATCGATCTTTTTGGCATGGCTGAGTCCTCGATGGGCGAATGCAGTGAGTAATAGGGGGTGTCGGAGGGGGTGTGGTCGCAGGGCGTGAGCCCAGAGCCTGATGGGGGAGAGCGAAAGAAAGAGGCGGTCCAAAAGATAGTGAAAATGTATGTTTTTCGGGGTCTTGGTGACGCGAGTGATGCAAATGACGCTGAACAGTGCATCATTAGCATCACAAAGTGCCCAGGAGATTATTAAAGTGGTCTACTGAGGCGATCACTGCGTTGCTTTCAAGCTGATAGGAAAGGAAAGTAGCGCTTTGACTTTCGCTGCTCTAGTAGCTCAGTTGAAGTCACCCATTGCAGTCACGGTGCTTGACCTAGCTTCTCTATGTAAGCAGATACACTAGTCCCCCCAATAGAGTTACCACAGTCTAAGGAAAATGTTGGGGGCTCACTTTTTTGCATGAAAAGCAGCCTTGAGCCGGAAGGCTATGGGCACCGCCTAGAACTGTAAATGTCCAAGGAAGCTGGACACTTATGTGCACGAGTATGGGAACCAAGCATATCCTATGACCAGTGACAGTGGATGGAGGTTGGTAAAGGCTGCCTTGTGCATATAGGCTCCATCATATCAAACCTGAAACTTTATGTGTGTCTGCTTTCTGTCTTCCCGTGGCCAAAAAACGTATGCAGCTTAGACTTCACCCTGAAGCAATAGCACAGGAGGTGAGGCTGATGAAGCATTTTCCGAGAACGAAGAGATGAAAATCCAGGCGCGATCGTTCATCAATGCAGCCGAAGCTGGATACCAGACTCTACAAGAGCAGGCTCAGAATCAATTCATGGAAATGGCCATGAACCACCGTCAACAAATCGCTGGACTTGAAATGATGCAAGGTCAGAAAGTCTCTTTCCTCGAAATGAACTTGGCGCAGCAACAGCATGCATCTATGGATTTTCAGAGGCGGTTAACTGAAACGGAATCTGTACAGGCGCAACTACTGAAGGAACTTCGCGAATTGAAGGGACGAAAGGACGAAGTGCCGAAGGGACTGCCGAAGTTCGCGATTCCATACCGAAGCATGAAGCACCACTCACAGGTTTATCTCAAGCCGATGATGTCCGATCTTTTAGAACTGCTGATCTGTTCGGTACTCCATCCACGAAGTCTCAACCCGGAAGCCTAACGCTACAGTTTTCCAACCGGTGAGTCCATGGAATGATGGGTATGGATCATTAGCAGCAAATGCATTGTCGGGCAACTTCGGTAGGGGTGGACCAGGGAACGGTGGTGGTGGACCGCCGGGTGGGGGAGGAGACAATCCTGGTGGAGGTCGTTCATCAGGTGACCCAATCAACCCTGGGCGACCAGGCATTCCGCTTCTCAAGATTCCCAAATCGGGGGGTGGACCACCTGGTCCTCCGGGGGACGACAGCGACCCAGACGGGGGAGATGATTTTGAAGATGATGACGATGAACTGACGGACAAGGCTCTCATGAAGAAGCTCAAACAGGTTTTGGGGGGTAAAAGTAGTACCACGAAGGAAGCAGACCATATCAAGATACCTTCCTTTCCACAGCCCGAGAACTATCGCAATTGGAAGATTAGGGTGAGGGATGCGGTGAGGGCCGCATCTTCCAAGCCCGACAAAGCATTCTTGTGGATTAACAAGGTTTGGATTGAAGGTCAAACTATTGAAGGTCTTGCGAGTCCCGACGGGTTCACAACCCTCGATGCCAAGCTTCTTGCCGCACTGTCATCCATCGCCGCAGGCCACAGGTGAATTCGCACGCAAAGTTGACACATTCAAGGAGAAAGAATCCCAGAAAGATCGTCCAGTACGGGGGAGACAGGCGTTGCTGATGATGCGCGAGTACTTCAGTACCAATATCAAACATGGCGCCACTTATTCCCTCAGTGATCTGTTCAATGTGAGAATGAAGGGCGACAATCTCAAGACTTTCTTGTCGAACTGGGATTCAGTTACCACCGGTGTTACCCATTTGCCTGAAACTACTGTCCTGGAAACCTTATTCTACCAACAAGTGAAGAATCACAGGGCAATCGCCCATGACATTGAGGAGTACCACCGGGCCGAAGAGGGAAGTTCAAAGCGTTGCTATCAATTCCTGTATGACGCTGTTCGCAGACATCTCATGAGGGAAAGGCTAGAGGACAATCGGGGACGGATCGCCGCTAGTGTTGGAGGTGCCAAGACGTCCGCTCCTGCTGCCGACGCGCGCACACCGTTCACCCCCAGGGGGTTTTGTGTTCAGTGGAACAAAGGGGGTTGTAGCAAGGAAAACTGTCCATTCAAGCATGAGGTTCCCAAGAAACGTGAGAAGAGTGCAACCAAGAGTCCAAGGGGGCGCTCACAGTCAAGAGGGAAAGAGAAAAGGGACACCTCCAAGATTGCGTGCAAGTTTTGGAAGGCTGGACGCTGCAAGTGGGGGGACAAGTGTGAATTCTCCCATGAAGGTCAACAGCGACCCAGGAAGGCCACCCCTGCAAGATCGCCTTCACGAGACTCTCAAAAGAGTGACAAGAGCAAGAAAGACAGACGCAGAAAGAAGAAGGGAGACCGATCTCAGTCGAGGGGCTCCAGTGGTTCGCGTAAGTCTGGAGGCTCCAGATCCTCCAAGGCTTCTCGTGGTTCGAAGGGCAGTGCAGGTAAGTCCACTCCCGCGGCAGTTTGTCTGGTTGCATCCATGCTCGCATCCGTCGTCGATGGTCTCTCGTTGAACGGTCCTACGTCCATGTTGGATCATGTCGGGATCAACGTCAGCGAGAGCCAGGCGGCCTGGGAAGGCGAGCCATGTGTTGCATGTCCAGGTGTGTCATTCAACCTCAAACCTGATATCACGAAGATTCATGCTTGGGGCAGATTAGATCCTTTTGTTTCGGAACCATCCAAACCGAAGAAGACTTTCCCAGCTAGCTATCAGACCAAGCCCAACATTCAAGCAGTTGACGATTCAATATTGTCAGCACGCATGCTTCAGGGAGCCGTTTCCGGTTGGCTGAAGGGTGTCAAAGCAGCTTGTAGGCACATGTGTGATTCAGACTTAGGTTGTGACTCATGCATTCCTGCCGACATTGTTGCAATGCCCGCATCCTCTCCGAGAGAAGTCAAGTACTTCCACCATTCGCACGAGGACTGGATTGCAGACACCGGAAGTGCTCAGGACCTGTTGACACGACGTGACATCCCTGATGAGTTCCAATATCGATCGGACCGGCCAATTGCTATCATAACAGCTAATGGTCACAGTTCATCAAATTATCTTCAGGCTAAGGTGTACAATGACACGTTGAGTTGCAGGTTTGATCCATATCTGCTCGAGTCTACGCCGCCGGTCATGTCCGTGGGCGTGAGATGTGTTGATCAAGTGTATGATTTTATTTGGAGATCCGGCAAATTACCCTACTTTAGGAAGCCGGACGGAGAAAAGATAGAGCTTCTGGTTAGGGATTACGCCCCCTACATTCCTGCCAGGGCAAAATCAAATGCCAGTCCATGCACTCCTCGCTCGACTTTATCCTCTACACTGGCTCCGACGTCTCTTCATCCCATAGCCCCTGGACCTGGTACAGCTGCTCCTGCTGAACCGGCATTGGCCTCGGGTGATGACGGGATGAATGCGTTGAAAGAGAGCCCAGAGAAGGATGAAGCGGGCCGGAAGGCTACGCCGGAGAAAGAGAAAGAAGCACCGAAGGGCAGTGCGGACTGGAAGGTCTCGCCGATGGATGATGTTGATGATGATGCTCCGCAGGTACCTGCCGAAGGTAACTTGGACAGGAATCTGGGAAAGGGGATATCATTATTGAAGGAAGAGGCTAAATCACTCGGGCACCTGGTGAGCCATCACCCCAAGAACCCATATTGTGACGTTTGCAACAAAGCAAAAATGAGCAAGCCTCCATCGTATCGGCGGGACGGGTCCTCAATAGTTGAAGCCAAGAAATTCGGTGATCGCATAACTTGTGACTTTCTCATTACCGGTGATGAATATGAAGTGGGAATCGATGAAGAGAAGTGTGCATTGATTGTCAAAGACATATACTCCAACTTCATGTATGTGTATCCCAGTGCTAGAAAAAGTGCCGAATCGGTCATCCTGGCTATGAAACACTTCATTTCGAGTGAAGATGAGGGAGGAATTTGCTACTCTGACAATGCTCCTGAATTGATCAATGCCATGAAAGAGCTAAAGTGGAGACATGTACTGTCAAAGGCATACATATCCGCCAGCAATGCAGTAGCAGAAAGGTCGATCCGAACCGTGCTTGAAGGAACTCGTGTGAACCTCTTGCAATCCGGTCTCAATCATGGATTTTGGCCATATGCTGCTCGTCATTGGTGTGTCATGAATAACAACCTGTATGCACTAGACGGAACTGCCTCCCCGTGGGAGCTGAGATTCGGAGAGCAATCACCTATTAAGCGTTGGCCTTTCGGATGCATGGTGAACTACTGGAACGGTCCTAAGAAGAAGCCCAAAGACGAGCTGAGGTTTGACCCCACGTCAAGTGCAGGAATCTTCATTGGTTACATCGTTCACCCAGGGTTTCAATGGAGGACGGAATACTTTGTAGTTGACCTCAAGTCGGCCAAGGCAGATAAATATGAGGATATGCACCAAATCAAAAGAGTCATTCGCATCGATGTACCTGAACCGTTTACCGTCCCACTGAAGGATCGCAAGGAGATGATTCGCAGAGGAGAGCTCGCTGACGCAGCCGAAGAGGAAGTCGAAACAATCCTTGAAGTCCAAGATGCTGTTGAAAGTGTTGCCCCAAACCCAAAGGCAGAAACACTCGAGAAATCGGACACCACTCTTCCAAAGGGGCCAGTGGCCCGAGGGTCCGGTGCACGGGCAGTTTGGAATCAGGGTTGGTTAGCTTTCATCGGAAGCGGAATCAGTGACGGATGGTGTGACTATGCCGAATGTAAGGTCAAGTATAGCCCCTGCGAGGGGAAATTTCTCGACCCACGTGCAGATGTCAACACTGGACAATACTCCTATAGAACTACTTTCATGCACTCGGATGAAGAGTCATGGCATGTTGTGGAATCAAATGCACTCATACATCCGTGGGACAGGTCAATGGATGGGCTGCTAGAGGTCGTCGGTGCCACCATCACCATTTTATCGAAGAATGAACTCGATTTGCAAACTCCAGATGCTACACCGAGCACATTGCCGGGTCCTTCTGAGATTGAAGTCTTTAACCCGTACACCAGCAAAGCTGAAATGATTCGTAGCGATGACCCCAAGTTCTATGACGCGGGGGGGCTCAAGACCAGAAGGTATCAGGGATCCAGCAAACCCAAGGACATTCCATCCTTTGTGTGGCAATCAATGTCGGTGAAGCAACGGAGACTCGCAATTGCAGAAAAGCAGAAGAAGTTAGCTAGAGTTACAGACATGGCTGCTTTGCCTAAGAAGGCAGCTGCATCAAAACGATCTAGGCATTCCGAAACATGGGCTTTGGTGCGCGTCTTGGAAGGGAACGCCGGATCATCATCATTCCAGGATGCCGAAGAGGTTCCCAAGATGCCTGTTTGTGGGTATAGTGTACAGAGACATCGTGACAAGCTCATCAAGGTTGGTAGGCTTCAGGGTGAAAAGGCAAACAACACTCTCGTTGCCAGACCCGTCAATCGGAAAGAAATCAAATCGAACCCCAAAGCACAAGCATCCCTAGATGTCGAATGGGTAAAGTTAGAGAAGAAAGATGCATGGCTTTATGATACGGTCCAGGAGTGGAAAGATGTAGCTTCGAAGGCCAAGAAACAAGGCAAAAAGGTCCACATAGGGAAGGTGTTCGAGATCTGTGTTGAGAAAGGTAGCGAACTGCCCATTGGACACGAGCTTCGCAAGTTTAAAGGCCGCACAGTATTCCAAGGGAAAAACGTGCGAGACGAAAACAGCGATGTTGCTTTGTTCAGCGAACTCGGGTCATCCCCCGCGACAATGGAAGCGGGCAAGGCTGTTGATGCCTACGGGGCACAGCCAGGATTCACAACTGAGCAAGCAGATGGCAAGCAAGCTTACACACAAGCACTCATGAAGGGAGTCGAGACATGGGTTGAACTCCCCAGGGACCGATGGCCTAAGTCATGGGTAGGAAAATATGATAGACCTGCCTGTAGGCTCCGCGTCGCACTCTATGGACACCCTGACTCCGGGGGGCTTTGGGAGCAGCGCTGCACAGACATGTTAGTAGCAGTTGGATTTGCCATGCCAGATCCTGAGGGTTGGCCATCGGTGTTTTTCCACGCTAATCTTCGTTTGCTGCTCATCGTTTATGTTGATGACTTCAAGATGTCTGGGCCCAAAGATTCGTTGCAAAAGGGATGGAGCTTGATTGCCTCCAAGATTGACCTCGACACCCCGGGACCGGTCGGGAGATACTTGGGGTGTGAACACATCTACAAGCGGGGAGTAACTCTGCCAGTAGAGGCACATCCATTTGCACACGTGTTTGACAAACGGATTCCAGATCCCGCCGCAAAGACTGCCGCGGCAGGAGTTCATAGAACACAAGATTTTTGGGAACATCATCCTGACAGTCCTGTTTACGCAAGGTATCATGTCCAACCCAGAAAACAGATGTTCGTACCTGAAGAGTCCCTGGTTCAAGATCTTGGACTATCCAACGTCCGTTGCACGTACTTTGAGGGGTGCGCGCCGGAATAAGGCGGAGCCGAGATCCAATGGGATAACATTACTGACAGGAAACGAACACCATCATTATGGACGGGTGTCACTTACCTATTTACCAAAGATTGCGGTGACCCGAGGCTTGCTCTAGCCGGGGTCACTCGTGACAAGGGTAGTGCCAAGAAGGCCGCAAGAAGTCAGAACTTCTCATATCTAGACCAACTGCACAACACCAACGCCTGCATGACAAAGCCAGTCACAGTTGTTACCTATGATATGGAACCTTTCCTGAAATCATGTGTGGACCGGTATGTCGCACTCGCAGGAAAGAATGCTCAGTCATTGCGCAAGGTTGCAACCCCATTCCATGAGGAGCGGATTGCTCGCCCCACGGTAGAGGGGGAAGAGAAGCCAGGTGTCCTTGCACCAATTGCAACGAGAGTCCTCATGAAAGTACTCTTTGCTGCGCGAATGGCCCGTTTCGATTTACTCCGGGCAGTGCAGGGCCTCGCGGCTCGTGTAACCAAATGGTCGACTGACTGCGACAAAGCGCTACATAGACTGATATGCTATATCAATTCAACTGTTGGCTACAAGATGCATTGTTTCATTGGAGATGATGTAAGTGATTGCAGACTATGGCTCTTCGCTGATGCGGACCATGCCGGTGAATACGACAGTCGGTCTACTAGTGGTTGTGTTCTAGTACGTGTCGGACCCAATACATACTACCCGTTGACAGCTTTCAGTAAGAAACAGACATCAGTGTCTCTTAGTAGCACTGAATCCGAAGTGGTTTCAGCCAATGTCTCCCTCCGCTCTGTCGGTCTTCCTACCTCCGGTTTATGGGCACACCTCCAGCAGGCGGGGGGAATCACACCCTCCAAATCGCGTTCATCATCAAGCAAGCTGGAAAGTTTGCCGCAAGAGAGAGTGAGGACAGAGCCCGATAAGGATGGAGACTACTGGATATATGAGCCATTTCGAAGATGTCTGAGTAGGGTCCATGTCAAACCCAGATCTCACTTATATGCGCCGAGCGACTCGAAGTCATGCCCCGTATCAATCAATCGACTCAGACTGGCCAGAACCATCCTCATGATTGATGACAAGGGAAACCTTGATCTTAAACAGGACAATTGGAAGTCCAAGGGTGACTACCCAATCCGGGGGGAATGGAAGGGCAAAACTTTGTTTCGTGTGTACGGCCCAAATGATGTTGACTACAAGGTGGAGTCACAAGAGATCCGTGAATCAATAACTGATTGGGAATTCCTTGGCATGGAACGTGAAGGATCCCTTGACCTAACCCTGTTCGCTCCCAAATCGATCGAAGGTGTCTTCATTGAGGATAGTCAAGCCACGATCCGAATCCTCGAATTGGGCAAATCCCCAGCTTTTAGGCACACCGATAAAACCCAGAGAGTCAACCTCTCGTGGATTGAGGAGCAGTTCAGACGTAAATGGTACCGGTTAGTTCACGGCCCAACCATCCTTCAAGCAGCTGATATTTTCACGAAGCCTTTCACGAACTCAGAGAAGTGGGGTACAGACAGACTGCCCATTGGCCAATCGCAGGTACGATCTACTCCCGCGAAGCCAAGCGTGGCGGAAGCTCACGCCGTGCCTGATGCTCAGAGATTGCTGGTCGAGGTATGTTGTGATCAGAACTCAAAGTTAAGTGATAGGACTAGACCCGCTGCTGAGGGATGCAGGGTGCTGCAGTTTACCGAAGAATTTGACTTTAACAGTAGCAGCAATCGCAAGCTGGTGATCGCCCAAGTCAAACATCACATTAAAGCCCACAACGTGGAATCGGTACTCGTTTGGGTGAGCCTACCCTGCACGGGGGGCACTCCGTGGACGTACATCAACTTACGCCACCCAACCGGAAACCGGAAAGTTAAGCAGCATCGCAGAAAGTTTGCCGTCCTCTGGACGAGTCTGGTCGAGTTTCTGTCTGTCCTTCCCGGTGTCCATGTTGCCATTGAATGGCCGAGGGGATGCACCTATTGGGGCTTACCCAAAGTCAAAAAGCTGATTGAAAGACTAGGTCTCGTACCATACCACTTCGACGGGTGCGCTGTGGGGCTGAAGGGTAAGGATAATCTTCCCATAAAGAAGCCTTGGACTGTTGCTACCAATCATGAAGGGATAGGTAAGGTTTTGAGCGAGTTCCAATGCAGCTGCAATGTGCAACATGCAGAAGGGAGAGGAAAGTTTTTGAGAGAGACTCAGTCCTATACCTACATGATGACAGACACTATTCACGCTGCATTTCATAGCCGCCTTCAGAGCTCTCAAGCTATCTCGACTTGCTGTGTCGCTACTCCGATTCGTCCTGCCGACATGAAGCACATGGCAGTGGACTTTGTGCCTCAGGTGGAGCCCGAGGTCATGCCCACCGTCCGTGACCGCATTGCGGCATGGGAGAAGGTCTCCACGGACCTTCGCGCCGCTTGTGTGAAAGTGGCTTTCGGTGAAGACCCAGAAGCCCACGTCCGTCGTTTGGCTTCCATTCGCCAGCCGATTGGCGTGGCCATTCGTGGGACACTCGAGGGGGGCAGTGCCCAAGGTTCCTTCGGCGAGATTGCCGACTTGATGGAGCGGGTGCCGGAATGTTTGTTGACACAGCTGTCGAGCGGGCCGGAAGGCTCAGCCGATTTGCTCATTTGCGGTGATAGTTCATTTGCTGTCATTCGCCAAAAGTTCATCGGCCCTATGATTGAGCCTGAAATCACGCGGATGGATTTGGCCCAGTTCCTGAACCAGGACTCGATGGCCTGGTGTACCCGCATTCGTTCAAGAGTGGAATGGGGTCGTGGCCTAAACAGGATTGTACCAGCCATCGAAGAGGAATTGCAGGAAATGGCTGAACACAACAAGAGAAATGGTAATCCAGGCAGAAAAGTGGTCGTCTTGGTTCCCTGGAGCGGAAATGATGTCTACGGGGATTACGGCTACGAAGGCTGTAAATGGATTAACCAGAAACGGTTTTTGAAGACAGAGGCGGACCGGAAGGTCGCAGCCGATTGGCCATATGCACAGCTTACTCGCGTTCGCGAGAATGTTGAGCGGCTCATCGCACTGCGAAACCGGTCTGATGTGGCTGAGTTGGTCGTCGTCGGGAATGCTCCGGCCGAAGACTTCGACTTGCCGAAAGCCTACAACAGGCATCTAGGGGAACACTACGGATACCTGATTTCGAGAGGGGTCCGTGTGTTGATCCAAGCACGATGACGTCCCAGGTGTTCTATCGCGATCAATTCCACATGATCGAGTGCTATCAGACCCTCAAATGGGGCGTTGCTGTCTACTCCGGCATTGCTACCTGCGCCTTTCGAACATTCCAGGTGATGCAGTACAAAGAGGAGATTGAACCATTGACCATCTTGAACGCCGGTGAGGGCGAAGGAGATTTGCAGTTGATGGAATTCCTCTTCAGGTACCCTACCATCTCGGAGGTTCGAGCTGCCGCAGACCTTATGCTTGCCGGAAGGCGAGCCGTGGATCAGATTGAACTGAACCCGGCCGACATTGTGGACGCAGTCGACCAAGAGATAATGAATTGGTTGCTGCAAGAAGAAGAGGCAGATGTCGTGCGGTTGAAAGACAACAGCCGCGTGCTGGCTCAGGAGATCAACCCCGACGACCTGTTGCGATTGCCCATCGATGCAGAAGAATGAAAGTGAGCGTGATGAAAGGCATCGCATCATCATGAAAGAGCTGTACCCAGACTTGCCAACTCCGCAGGGTGGACAAGAGCTTGTGGAAGAATTTCCATGGGAAGTCCCGGACGAAGGAGACACTCGACTTCGACGAATGGGAACGAGCCATCGAGGAGAAGAAGAAGAACCCGGGTACCAGCTCATTCATCCCGCCAGTTGAGGTGCCGCTTCCGCCGCCCAAGAACGAGGAAGAAAAGGCCGACGATGAAGCCTTTGCCGATATCCGCACCGAAAAGTCCTATGTGATCGTCGAACATCCGGAAGAGGAGCAACCAGACTGGGACGACGATGATGCGGACTCGGCGGCCTTCAAGTCTGTCAAGGGTTCAGAGGCCGATGAAGCTGAGAGGCCCGAACCCATGGATATCGACGAACAGGCCCAAGGGGAGCAGAAGAAGGCGGACGAAGAAGCCCCTCCCGAAGGCCAAGGAGAAGTCGATCAACCCATCGAGGAGTCTCAGGGCGAAGCCGCTGAAGCGACCCATGGCCAGGCCACTGATGAGAACACCAAATCAGATGACGCCAAGCTCATGGAGGTCGACCTCACTGGAGACGATGATGCTGAGAAGAAGCCGAAGAAGAAGCCATCTGCCGAAAAGCCCATGACGCCGAGCGTGCCGGAAGGTTCGCCGAAACCCACACTCACCGACCTAGATAGAGAAGGCTGCTGCTGAGGCCAAGGCTCATTACCCAATAGACCAGGTTAGACAAAAAATTGTCTAATAGACAACTTTCTTAAAATTTGTCTATTAGATAAATTTTTGTGATTTGTCTTAGACAACTTTATGTGACGAAAAGTTATCTAATAGACAAAACAAAAGTTGTCTAATAGACAAAAATCTGCTGTCTTAGACAAATTTTCGCGGCTGCAAACGAGGAAATTTCAAGGAAATTTCCTCGAAACTACCTCGTCTGTTTTTCAAAACTTCCTTCAAACTTCCTTTCTTTTTGTGGCAGTTTGGAGGTAGTTTGATGGAAGTTTGTAGGCAGTTTCAACCTGCAAGTGTGGAAGTTTGTCATGCACATGGACTGAAACTGCAATAATATGCAAATATTGTAAAATAAACTTCCTCATGCCTATGATGAAACTGCAAGTAAACTTCCTCAGTGCCTGTGGTAGTTTTGAGGAAGTTTTGATTTGTCTGAGACAAAAAAATTGTCTCAGACACAGCCAAAAATAGTCTAAGACTGTTTCTTCAAAATAGATTTAGACAAATTTTGAAAAGTTGTCTTAGCCAAAAATCATGTTGTCTTAGGCAACAAAAAAGTTATCTAATAGACAATTTTTTTACAAAATAGATCTTAGACAAAAAATAGTCTAACCTGGTCTATTGGGTACGAGGAGTTGAGTTTCGTCGACGAAAAGACCGGTCGCATCGTTGTGCGGGGGGACAAGGAGGAGCGTGATGCTCGCTTCAAGAAATGGAAGGAGGCAGAAAGGCTCGCCATGAGGCCAAAGGCCCAGCCCAAGCAGGTGCGGCGACCCAACTTGGAGCCCACCATGCGAGCGATCGACACTGAGGATCCGAGCAAGGACCTGGAGTTCGCTCAGCTTCCGGGGCAGGAGGTCTGGCTTGGCCCAGAACATTTGCGCCAGATCCCGCGCCGTGACGTGGAAAATGGGGACGATTCAGGTGGATCTCCCAGGAAAGGATTTGACACTCCCGAATTCGAAGAAGACGGCAGCAAGGCCTGGAAGCCACTGATGGAATGTCTCCAGAAGCGCATCAACCAATGCAGAGAGTGGGAAGTTCTCCTTATAAGAATTCGGAGGACGAAAGGTTCGAGTTGAAGACTCGCTTGCCGGGAAACACTGTGGGAGTGACCTGGAAAGGTCTGCCGTACGAGCCTGTTGGCGTCAAAGCTGTCCAGTCGCTGGGTGACGGACAAGCTAGGGCATTCCAATTTCATCAAGCGCGTCTACTCACTTGACCCAGAGTACACGCCGGAGATGGTCGACGAAGGGAAGCTCCCGCGAACCAACATGATCCCGGACCAAGAGTATCTGTCATCTCTGCCGAGGGTATTGTACCACTCGTGTGACCGTGCTGCGATGGGAAGCATCATTGGCACTGGGCTCATCCCTGGTGGATTTCCGAAGAAGACTGGCAGGGCACACAACTACTTCACTACCTGCCCCCCATGGAAGGCCCAGATGCGCAAGCTTGCGGGAACGCGAGCCGGTCAGCCCATTTACCTGGCTTTTGATACAGAACTCGTTATGCAGCTTGGCTGCAGAGTCTTCGCCACTCGGAAGAGCATCCTCAGTTTGGACTGGGTTTCAAATGCCGCATTGATGTACGCGTACGATGCCCGCTCCAACCAGTTCGTCTGGTTCAATCGGGCGTACGCCAAGACGCGGCAGAACTACCACGAGAGGTGAGGAACCATTCCACTGACGATCCACAATTCCGCTTGAGCTGGCCGAAACCAGGAATTATATGCTGAACAATGCCCGCCGCAATCAGCACCACCTAAAGGTGGGCGAGACCAATCTCATGAGAGGCGCAGTCTTGACCGGCATCACTGATGAGGTAGCGCTCACTCAGAGCCAAGCGTCCCGGGAGGGTCCGCCGCCAGAACTTACCGGCTTCACGCTGGGGCAAGTTTGCATCATTGCCAATGAAGAGATGTCTGGTTGGGCGGGGAAAGGCAAATCCAAGGGCAAGTCCAAGGGCAAGAAGGGCAAGGGCAAAGGGAAGTTTCGCGACATCAATGACGATGACCTGATGGCGAACGAGATTGTCCAAATCCCCAAGCGGGTTTGCCCGACGCCTCTGTGTGCTACGCGCCATTACGATGGACAGCGCCGGTGCGACTACTGTCGCAGGGACTTGCAGGTCTGGTCAGATGCTCGATCAGCGAGCGAGTTAGCCAGAATGGAAGAGACGGCCAACCTCAATGAGTCCGTCGTTGCCTTGGATCAGTTGTCAACCAGAGCCTATCGGAAGGCGAATGTAGTCAAAGACACGTCAAAAGGTGAGCAGCAGCGAGGAGCCAAATCGGCATTCGGCCTCATCAAAAGACTTGCCGTCAACTACGTTCGAAAGGCCAAGCAGCTTGGTCTTCCGGGGCCAGCCAGGCGGTTAGAAGTCGACCCGTTGTTCGCCTACAACTGCTCGACGACCCAGCTGACGTCAGGATCGCTCAACTTTCTCCACCGATTGGCCCGAGCAATCTTCGCCAACCCTGGCCGAAGTGCTCAAGAGAGAAAGAGAGCCCTCGACGATCAAGAAAGGGAGCACCATTCCAAACTGCGCTTCATTCCCACCATCGCCCGGGATCCGAACGAGGCCTTGTCCATCGAAGACGAGTCGTTCGTGTGTCACCACAACCGCTTTTTCAACTTGAAGCAGTTTTCGATGTGGCGCTCACACTGGCCCGGACACGGAACGAACCCGTGGTTGCCGTGGAGGGATGGGGAAGCTTGGAATGCGTGCCGGAAGGCGACGCCGTTGAGATCCTGAGCGATTTGGTCGAATTTGCTGAGCGCAATTGGGCCCGTGCCTGTGAGGGCACAGAGTACTCAGACTTGACGATCTTTTCGGGTCGCTTCCCTGAGGTGAAGCTCACAGAGCGAAGATCCACCGCCAAAGAAAGCACAAAGACAGCCTTCGACCCAAGATCAAAGGGCAGTTGGGAAGGATGCCAAACTCTGCTTCGAGTGCGGCTCGCCCGACCGTCGCGCACGCGACCGTCCAGAAGTGAAGGGTCGTGGCAAGGGCAAAGGTAAAGGCAAGGGAAACAGCCAGTATCAGGGCAGCTGGCAGAGCAGCTGGAACCAAGGATGGGGAGGTTCCTGGGGCTCAGGTTCATGGGACTGGAGCCACACCGGGCGATCCTCGTGGCAGGGTGAAGCTGCCTCGTCATCTTCCTCCAACTGGTGGTCTTCATCCAAGGGAGGCTGGTGGAACCGCTGAGAAGCCATATAGAAAAGGATTGAAAAAGCAGAGAATACCTTCTTGCGATGCGGACCGGAAGGTCACGCCGGAAATCAAAATTCGTTGGCGTGTCACTTTCCATATCCTCATGAAGCGAGCGGGAACGCTCTGCCGCAAACCCTTCAATCAGCTAAATTTGCATATAATTCGGTGGTCTTTGCGATCTGTGTACGTTTTTCTCGAGGATGGAACGGTAAGAGTTCCCAGTGAGATAAGCGCGCCGGAAGGCATCGCCATCGTTCTTTTGAGGGCCTCATTGCATATGGCAATTTCTGAGGTATTTTGCCAAACCTGCACAAGCGAAGACTTGTCGTCAGCTCCGCATCAGAGAAAAGATTAGATTGCCCCAGATTTGCTTTCATCTTGATCTGATAAACTAAGAGCATTTTGCTTTTGTGCCGACTTGCCGCATTCGAATGCAGTAGCTCGAGGGTTGTAGAGCGGTTTGATCTCATCGCCGCCTGAGGTTGGAACATTGCTTACGACTTCCTCTTCGGCGCGCCGTGGCGAAGCCACTCCGCTCCGCGGGGGGTGTATTTTCTAAGTATAAGCATTGTTCTCTACTGTATATATATATATATACCTCATTACCCTCGTGTTTGGCTCAAGGAAAAAGCTGGGCGCTTTAGGCTGATTTCCTGTAAACATATTCTCCTTGAGGTGGACCACGCCATATGGGATGTTGAAATCCTTGCGGAAGCCCCACTTATAGCGGGTGCGCAGGATGGGCGGAACAGTGGCTTTGAGATGGTCGTGGATGTTTGCGACTGTAAGGTATGGAAGTGGTTCAAAGTTCGGGAGATTGCCATGTGTTAAGGGCACCGGTGAAGTATTGGCGGGGGCAGAACAGTCGGAGTTGCTGTAGTTCGTGGTCAGCATGGTGAAGTACTGTGTGTGGGCCGAGATATTCCTGGAGCTGACGGAGCAAGCGAGCTGTAAAACGGGGTTGCTGTTTGAGATGGGTGTTGTGGAGGCGCTATTGGTGCCCGAGGAACGGTTCCAAATGCTGTGTAAGGGTGGAAGCCCTTGAAGCTTGAGCCATTTCGTGTAGGCCGTTTGGAAGGTGAGGAAATAACGTGCCTTGCTGGGATAGTAGGTGCTGTTCATGTTGGCGTTGAGAAAGATGTTGAGGTGTGGTGGGAGGTGTAGCTGGTCCAGCGTAAGAATGTAGTGGCCGCTGGTGGTTGGTGTGTCTGGATCTTGGAGGAGATTGGCGAAGGTGGTTGCATGTGCAAGGGCGGGCTGCTGGATCAGGGGCGAGTGGAGAGTGTCCTCCCAGGTGCGGTGGTTGTGGAGCTGGGATCGAAGGGTCTTGTGGGCTGCTTCACGTAGGCGATGCGATGGGAGGTGGAGGGGAATGGCCAAATGTTTGTGTTGCTGAATGGTGGTGCGGAGCCACTGTTGGCAGTGTTTTGTAAAGTCGTCATGCGCCAGGAAAGGCACGGTGAGCGGGATGTTCGGTTTGGGTGGTGTAAGATTACGGAAAAGGAGGGCTTTGTTGATGATGTGGAGAGCTCTGCTGCGGCCTGGTTCTTCGAGATTGGCGGATGGCGTAGACTTCGAGGTCGGTATGGCGGCCGCTGCGCAGTTGTTTTGCTGCTTCAAAGGAGGCTGCTGTGTGTTTGGTGAGGTTGCGGAGAAGTGTGAGAGCGTGATGTTTGGTGGAAGTGTAGAGGTGTGGTTCTCTGATGGTATGTTGGCGTTGTCGTAGTCGTCGAAAGAGACGTTTGTGAGTGGCTAACCTGGAGTAAAAGTGTGCTCGATGTTTTGTGAATTGCCATCCTTGAGCTTTAAGCTTGAGGTGGTGCGAGATGAAGGGCCAGTTGAGTGGATCCAGGCGTAATCGTCGGTGTCGTGGGATGTGAGCTGAATGGTGGTGTAGTGGTGAATGTTGTTGTGGGAATGCCAGTAGCGTATAAGGAGAGTTCTGCGGAGATTGGGATATTGTTCTGGAGTTGCTTGAGCTTGGCGCGGCGGTTGTGTTCTCTGTGTGGAATGCCAATGGCTGTGGAGCCGACGTAGAAGTGGCCATGCTGATGGTAGCAACGATGTGGTGGAATAGGGTTGAAGTAAAGTCTGACGTAAACGGAATTCTGGGAAAGAAAGTTGTGGTAGTGGTAGGTATGTGGAAGAATGTGGAGTTGGCGGAAACGGTTGCGCCACTGTTGAGATCGATGTGTTGTGGATGGATAGGCAAAGAGTAGCGTGATGTGAATGAGGCCCGTCGCAAAGATGGCCTCTGCTCGTTCTATGTATTGGGTGTGGTGGATCAAAAGGGATAAGGCGCGGTGGAGGTGAAAGAGATGTTGCATGGTGGTGTGGCTGGGTTGCTGCTGGCTGAGAACAGCGAGTCAGCAGCCGATGGCTGCGCCCACGCTGACCAGGTGTTGCAAACTGCGGATGGGGAGTCGGTTGACGCGACCGAGTGGGAGGCCATAGCGAGTGGCGGCTTCCTTCAATTGTTGTGTGGTGACTTTGCTTGTTTGGAGTAGGCGTAGGACTTCGTTGGCCGCCTCTTGGACTGTGGGGTCAAAAGTGGTGACCCAATGCTGGATGTCGGTGTTAGTCCAGCTGTCAGGGATGTCGTCCTTCAGGGATGGGTGTGGAGGTTGCAGGACGTCAGCCAGGACGGGTGGCTTGTGCGCTGGTGGGGTCGGTGGGTGGGGTGGGTCGCCAGAGCCTGTGGTGTGGCTGGTGCCCTTCACGGGAGTGAGAGGATTGCCCAAGTTGTGGAGCTTCTGTTTTGCTCGGGCAAGCTCGTCTGAGGTGGATTTGAATGCCCGTAGAGCAGTTCCTTCCGCCGGTGCCGGTGAGTGGGATTGGAGTTGCTGGATGAGGAGGTTGATCAAAGGGGCGTGGAAGGCCCGTGCTTGTGTGGTCTTGCTGGGAATGTCGGTGCCTTGTGTGGTGTGGAGGGTTTCGGCGACGCCGTCCAGGTCCAGGCGTTTCTCCCGGATTTCCTGGAGGAGGTGTGTGACAAAAACGGACTCGGCCACACTCTGGGTGGCGATGAAGCCGGTGTAAATTCCCATGGCTAAGGGTGCTGTGTACTCGGCCGTGCCGTGGTATGCAAGTTGCCAGGGAAAAATGTCAAAAGTTGGGAGGCCGGCAATACCATTGGTAGGTTGTATTGTTCGACAGGGCTGGTGGCCGTGAAGTGTATTGGCGTCCCAATGGTGGTCGAAGGGATGTGGGGTGGTGGGGGAGGTGCAGAGCCGGAGCCAGCGGCCGCTCCTGGCTGTGGACTGTGTTTGAACGATGATCCTGGTGGAGTGACTGGAGCTGTTGTCGGCAGTGGCGGAGGTGGTGGGGGCGGGAACTCTGGCTGTGATGGTGGAGTCAGTTGTGGCGGCGTGTGCTGTGGCGGTGGTGAGTCTGGTGAGTGCGAAGAGCGTGGGTGAGTGGACCATAGGTACCGGTGGGGTTGTATGAGTGGTGGCTTGTGGAACCATGGGTAGTGGCGGCTTCTGTGGTGGCTAGCTGCTGATGTTGCTGCTGCTGGAGCAAATAGTGGTTCCAGTAGTACTGTTGCCATTGTGCGTCCATGGTGGAGTAGCGGCTGGAACTCGAGTGAAGACAATCGCAAGTAGTTGCTTGAGCAGGCTGAAAAGTTCGGCGCACAGAGTAAGTAAAACATGGAAAGCGGTAACACAGTGCAGCCAGGATGTGAAACATGGTCAGAGTAACTGTCAAGTTGGCTACCAGCACGTCAAAGGAAGAAAACATGAAGTCTGAAACGCACTGTAAAAGTGTAGCTGGTAACATACAGTGAATGTCCGGCAGCGCACGTCGCAATCGTTTTTTCGTGGTGCGTAGTGAAACAGGTGGAGGCCTCGTTGTGGATGGCTGCAATCCGAAGATTAGTGTATGTAGAGGGAGGTTCGGTTAAGTTGGAAGAAAGTGGTTGGTAGAGAAAACAAACACATCAACGGATCGAGAGGCTCTTGTGGCCAACATCAGGCTGCGGCGCGATCAGTGGTTGTCGGCGTGCCAGGGGTCATGTTCTGGGCGGTAGTCCTGTTGGTGAAGTGGCAGGGGGCGCCCCTTCGCATCATAGTAGCCCGATGGGCGTGCAGTCAACAGGGTGGCAGACGCTGCGGTGTTCGTGGGTGGTGTCGTGTATTCTGGAGGCAGTGTTGTTGGGGGCGGCTGTTGCGGTGGTACTTGGTAGTAGGATGGCCATGCGTGTGGTGGTGGGGGCGAAGTGTGTGGAGGTGCTGAAACAGGCGTTTGGTTGGTAGCTGTGCCTTGGAAGATGGGCCATCCTGTTGCTGGAAGGACGGGTTGCAGGGGGTTGTGGGTAGAGGGAGTCTGGTGGGCTGAGTGCAGTGCGGTGGATGTTTCGGGAGAGGTTGTACTGGGGGAAGGAATTGTTGTGGAGCTGGACGTGGTGCTGTGGGTGTGGGAACTGGAGATCCTGAACGGGGGTCTGGTTGCCGAGTGCGGGTGGGGGTGGTCGAAGGTGGTGGGGTCTTGGAACGCCTGTGGCGCGGGGTGCCGCCAATAGGGGAGGGAAAATCCTGAGTGTGTTCGGGTTGCGCTGGAGTGGTCACTGCAGGGGTGGGGATAAGGTTGACGTACTGCCAGCGTTCATGGGGTTGCTTGTTTGCTGCGGCAGTAAGGGTGGGTGACGTGGTGCTGGGAATGTTGGCCGTGGTGTTTGAAGAAGTTGATTGGTCCGTGTGTGGTGTGGCTGGGATGCACGCGAACGCGGGGTAGTGGACAATCGCATTGATGTCTGTCTGTGCGTGGCGGCTGTGTGTATCTGGTCGCGGGGTGGTCTGTTGTGATTGATGGAAGCTTGGGGCTGTGATATGGGTGTCCAGAACGGAGACCCATGGTGAGGTTGTCTGGGTGGCAGCATCCTGAATGGTCGTGTTGCTGCTGGAAGCGGGGTAATGGGTATCGTCGGAGTGGTGTAATGTGGCTGGGTGGGGAAGCTGCCTGGGGGTCGATGTGTTGTTGGCCTGGTGTGAGGAAGTTGGGGTCAGTGAAATAGGCCGCTGGTGGAAAGCGGGCCAGTGTGTCAATGGCATTGAGGGCAAGGCGTGTGTGGTGTTGTGCTCGTTGCAGATTGCTGTGGTAGATGGAATGATACGCTGGATGGGTTGTGGTAGAGTGTCAGTGAGTGGCTGATGGCCAATGGGGGTTTCTGTGAGAGCTGTATGGGTGGCAAGGTGCTGATGGAGGAGAAAACGGTGGATGTGGAGGTCTGTCAATACACCCATCAGGGCGAGAGGTGGGTCAAGAGTGTATACCTCAGACCAAAATGATTGGTCAGCTGAAAGGGTTGGAGGTGGTGCCGACGACTCCGCTGCAGGTGGAGATGTTGCAGGTGGA